GGACGAATGTCATTTTAAAAAGATCGGATGAGACTAGTTTTTCAACCGCTTGCCATATAACGACTGATTTTAAAATATTGTTATGAAATACGCTTTTACTAAGATGCAGTTCGTATTACTAGATCGCGGATATTTTGATCAAGAGAAATACACTTCAAAGTTCCTTTTATTTTACTACTTTGTCTTTCACAACAGTAGGAATATTTATTTACAATTTATTTTGGCCGTACTCTCAACTTCTACGTTCTTGCCAGACTAACTCTACTTTTCACGAATATTCTATTTATATACAATTTTACAAGCATCTTACTATACCTAAAGGCTTTGTAAAACAAACTGGGAGCCACGGAAGTCAGGAAGCTCGCCTCACAAAGCCACGTATGCCTGCGGGTGTATGATGGACTTTGTTCATAAAGTCGTAATGAAATAAATTAATTTTTTCTAAAGAATAATAATAATACAAAAAGGAATTGACGGACGGTTTTCCCTTTGGGCGATTATTAAAAACCCTCTCGAGAATTAATTAATTAATACATGCAAAAATGAAAAAAGGGATTTGACGGAAAGGCTTTTTCCCCTTTTGCCTATTATGCCACGGATGCCTGCGGGTAATGGTGGTAATTGATCAACAGCGCCGTGGAAGCCTTATGGCGGAAGCGAGCGTTGATCAATTTGTGAGTCCTGACTGCTTGGGTGCGACCCTTCGGGGAGTACTCGTGGTGGCTGTGGTTGGCAAGTTCCTAGCCAAACTGGAACAGTCGAGTGCAGCTAGGCCTCACCACTGACCAGGGTGGGGCCATACACAATAAACTGTTCTGGACTCTGGTGTTGCTTAGGCCCCTACTCTGTGAGGATTGTCTAACTCGCCAGGGGGCGTAGTACGCTTAAAGTGGCTTGGGCCACCGAGGGGGTTAAGCCTTTCAGGCAGGAACCCATGATAAACCCTTGCTACAAATTCTTTACCTAAATTTATGGTTTTATTTCTGATCCCAGCCTGGCTTTCCTCTAAACGTTTTTATCGGCCTGCACCTGCATGACGCGCCTGCGCATGACGCGCGCCTGCGAATGTGCACCTAGCTTTTAGCCTGTCTGCTTTTCCGCTAATCGTTTTCATCAGCCTGCAACTGCATGAGGCGCCTGCAAATGCCTATTTGGTGTCTCCTTCTTTAGGGAATTTATTATTACGAAATTTACTTAGCTGACATTAACTGAATTTAGGATTTTCGTAACAATATGATTATTGCGAATACATGTCTTAAGCGAAGTAGTGTATGGTCCGAACATTAATTACATGTTGCAGAGGTTTTAATATCTACTTTTGTAATTTTGAAGACAATGGGGGGTAAACGTTCTACGCACTTATTGCGTGATGTGTTTTTCTATATTCATTTTATTTTTATTATTTTGCATAACTAAATACTCTCCCATCTAACTGAACATAAATGTCCGTAAGCGCGGCACCTTTAAGAGAACATTACTGTATGCAATAAACATTTTCGGAATATTTTAACAAATTTTTTTTCGTTTTCTAATAGAAATTCAATTAAATTATGAAAAAAGTCTGGGAATATTTTATATAGATTGCCTTAATCAAGTTGTATTGTTTCAACTTTTGTACCGGGCCAGGTAATAGTTTCTCAAAAAGAGACGGAGAGAGAGAGAGAGAGAGAGACAAAGAGAGATAAACATAAGTTCACTTAATGCATAAAGAACTTTATAAAAAAATCTTATTTTTCTTTCAAAACACAAAAATATGCTTTGAATTTTAAAGTTATTTTTCTTAACAGTAGTTAAAAAAAAAAGTTTTCTTATTTATTTATTTATTTATTTATTTTTTTTTTTTTTTGTTCTTTCTACTCATCATGACATCACATATTTTCAATTTATCAAAGGCTTGCAACATACAAAAGTAATTGTCGGAATTTTTCCACATAAAATATATATTTACCTGAAAACGTTTTCGATAGGTCTACCTATAGGTAGCTATTTGAAATTCGATTACTATGTCAACAAAAAAAAAAAAAAAAAAGAAAAGAAAAACAAGTGAAATTCATTCCGTCTAGTTTGCCCGTAATCTGTACCACAAGTCAAATATTTTCTTTTTTCTTGTTGCTTAAATTACGATATTTAACGCCTTGAACGGCCTATGCATGTACTCATAGAAGCCAATTATCAATTATGTAAAGCTTTAAACTGATATTTTTCACGACATTTATTCCGAAATTTGGGATTACATTCAATTTTTGGTGCAATCGTCTCGTACTGAGGCTACATTAGATTACATTCTATCAATCTTTTGCAAACTACCTTTGCTAGTTTCAAATATTTTAACTTTCTGTTTCAAATCTTTAATTTTCTTCGTTTTTTTTTTTTCATTAGCTTTAAGTGCATTTTTTACATGTTTATATTTTATGTGTTAGAAATAAGAGAGATGCGAAAATTCATAATACAATCGAAAAGTGGGTATAAGCTTTATTCTCTCAACTACAAAGATATTGAAAATATGTTCTTCAAACTTTTCAAACATTAATATTCCAAGCTACGCACTTAAACTCAATTACTGTTCTGTGCTAACAGTTTGACCCGGCGGAAGGTATTCATAGTGAACAATACCACGATAATCGAAGAAATTATCTTGATTTTGGAGTGACTTGGGCGCGTTTTTTCCAGTCTTGACTCACCTTTTCCATGATATTCGCTCGATAGATCAGTTCCCTTTCAGTATGCATAGATTCATTTCCCGTAATAATGTGTGCCATGACCCATTGATAGTCAGAAATCATATCCTAACATACATTGTAAAAGCCAAAAACAAAAAAACATTTTTATCTCGTACAGAACTAAGCTCAACTGAAACACTAATCCCGTTTATTATGTGAAATTTGACACAGGAAATGTCTGTCACAGTGTGATCAATTTAGGAAAAGAATATTTCTGATTTTCCCTATATCTATAGCGATTTAACTTGACTATTGGTTTAAGTTTTTCCTTTAAAATTTTTGATCTAAAATTTCATTTATCTAAATCAGTATAAATTTTGCCCATCGGTCTATTCTTTTCCTAATTTTGACAATTCCGAATTTATATAAATTGATAGCAAAAGCCTTAAAGTAAATTTCGAACATTTTTTTCTTCAATTAATTAAAAATTTTTATAAAATTTCAATTTAAAATTTTAATTCAAATGTAACTCTATTTGAGACCATGGGTATCCAAACTTCGTTACACTGCAACTTTACTATTTTTACTATTTGCTTTCATTAAGCTTTGTATACTTTTAGGATATAGAAAACTTGTAAAAGTATTGCATACAAATATTTTAATGTCATAAAAGAAAATATGTCGAATTTTATTTAATTTTTTATTTTTTTTTATTTTCTTTAAATGGAAATAAAATAAATTACTATTACTGTTAAAAGAGAAGTAAATTTTTTGAAGATCTAATTTCTTATCCCCTTTTTTTTCTTCTTCTTCTTTTCCTTGTGTTTTTTCCTTCCTTTTTTGAACCTTAATCTTTACTATTTTTCATAAGTTATGTATGTGTGCGTATTAAGAGCATTTTTTTTGTTTTTTTATTACTTGAAAGTTATTGATGTTCTTCTCAATGACTGTCAAAGTTAAATATTGATGATGTACTAGCATCATTTGCTGTGATAAGTTATCACTTGACGATTTGGTGGTTTTGTTAGTGCAGCTGTACACTTACTATATAAAAACTGACAAATTATTTAGAGATATTCGACAGAAAGTTTATGCGAGAATTTTTTTGCGAAATGCCTGCAAGACAAATGAAAGGATTATTCATGGTGGAATTGGAATTGGTATTTTCCTATCGGTTTTTGTTTTTTGTTTTTTGATTTTTTTTTTTTAATAAAGTCAATGCATTTAAGGAATGTCTTTTAAATATTTCGATTTTTTCTTAAATTTTTTTTTTTAAATTGAATATTTTGTTGTTGTTTTTTTTTTTTCCTTTTTGCAAAATTCTTATTTTAATTTACGTCTAACAATATGTAGAAAAAGTTGTCCAGTAAATGAATTATGCGACATATATATTTAAAATTGCTTACTAATCCTTATAGTTTAAACACATTTCTTACAAAGATTCCAAGCAAATACATGGTTTTTACTTGCCTTTAATACATGTTTTATTAGTGCTATATGCTAGTGGGAAATGCATACAAATTTCTATAGGTAGATATATGTGGTTATATGCAGGAAGTAGAAAGAGCATAACAGAAAATTCTATTAGAAATGCATTAAGGTCTGCAGTTCAATTTATCTCTAATGTGTTTCTACGATACGTATGAGCATGAATATTGTAGAGATGTGCAGAAAAATGTCCTCATCTCTCTATAGTAAACCTAAAACTAAATATCTTTGTTCATCTCTCCCCAGGTTTATGTGATTAAACCATATGCTTGAACTATTTATTGTATACCGTAATCTTTTCATCGGTACAGTACTTTTCGCTAAATATATGAAATAATTTTCATTGTTATGCTAAGGCAAAAAAAAAAAAATATTTAAATAAATAAATAACATAAATATGTATGTGTTAATATTGAAGTTTTCAAAAGACATTAAGCTCAAGTTAAGAATTATTTATGTAAAGTGTTGCATTTTTATATATGTTATCATCATATTGAAATGGTTATAATATAAAGAAAGTACTGTATATATATATTATTTATTTATATATATTTTATATACATTTTTTCTACTGTTGTATTTAATATATTTGATATTGTTATTCAATTTAATCAAATTTGTATATATATATATGTATATATATTATATGTATATATGTATATGTATATATATGTATATATATATATATATATATATATGAATACTTATAGATGTTGTAGTACATGGATATGTATTTTTAACTTTGATTTAGTAATGGTTCATAAATTTTTATTTAACATTTTGTGGTTTTTTTTTAATCCTTTTATATCATTTTTTAAATTATTAAAATTTGATAAATTTATATCGACTTACTTGTTGATAACGGACCACATTTGGCTTCATCCTTGAAGGTACAGAATTTTTGTACATCATCAAAATATAAACCAGAAGGACAACGATTCAAGTACGGAAAACCATCTACACACTAAATATTAAATTAAAAAATTTATAAAAAAAATTTATTAAAAAGTTTATCAATTTTAAAAGTTATTTTAATAAATATGAAAGGCATAAAACAATATATATATATATATATATATATATATTTATGTGTTTTTTTTTCTCTTTTCATTTTATAGTTAAAGTGAATGTAATAGAATTGCGAAGAACCAGTTAAGTCCATTGTATGATAAGTTTTTCCTATCATTATTGCATTTTACTTAGGTCCTGCTTCTTTAAAGGGTACATTGCAACCGTATAGTTGCAGCGTTTGCGAGTTCGAATCTCAGTGCGGTAGACCCTACTCTTATAGTATTTACATACATAATATGACTATTTTTTTGGGCATGGTTGATATGTTCCTTAGAAAAACGTGGAAAAAAAATTGTAAATATATATATGTTTGTTCTTATTGGTGAACCACGTTATTTCAAAATCGTGCAAAAAAGATCGAGTGGCTAATGTTCGTTTGTTACTATTTAGTGCTTTAGGCTTAAGAACATTGTAAACGGTTTACTTTGAATTTTTTTATTGCTTCTAAGTCATGTTTTCCTCTGTAGTGTCATGGTTTAAGCCTTCAAGCCTAATCCGTACATATTGAACTTGATACTTGCTTGAGCTACGAATGTAACTGTTTTGATTATTTCACATTGTATTTTTAAATAATTTTCTTCTTTTTTTTTGAGCAATTGACATATTCCTAACGGATCCCACTACAATGAGCTCCAAAGTGCGATCGTCAAGCAGTAAAATCCAAATCCAATCGATCCAAAATTTTCGACAGATACGTGTTGAGGACCTGTGCATAATTATTCAGAATCGTGACGAATATATAAACAAGTGCTTGTTTTAACTACGGGATTCGTTTCTGACTGTGCGTGTGTTAGACAAGCCGTTGTATAAAGTTGTTATAAAAACGGTTGCACAAATCAAAGTTAAAAGTGTTCATTGATTCGGCCGCACGTATATTGTGGTAAAAAGAAAAATAAATTCTACTTGTAATTCTACTTATACTTGCCACTCAGCACGGTATAGTAAACTCTTCAATATAGTTGAGAAATTATCAGAGTTGAGTTCCGTTCATGGGAACTTAGCCTATACTAGGGTAAGCCTATAGTCATTGTAACTATGTCGATGGGGAAAAATTTTAATCAGCATCAAACTCAATGTCCGATAATGCTTCATATTCTCAAATACTTAGGAAGCAGGAGTATATGATATTGAACGGTATTTATCAGTTACATACACTCTCGAATGCAGAGAAATGCGTTTAGTATGAAATCGAAACTGAACAACAATTATTTTTGATGAAATTTCAATGCATTTGCCATAAATGATAACGATTTCCATTGTAAGCTCATTCTTAACATGAAGATTCACTTTAGATTCAATGATTCGATTAAGAAGCAAACTTTCTACACATATATATTGACGAAAATGAAACGAGAAGCGAATATTTTGATCGGTCTCAGTGCGACTGTTTCTATGCTATATTAGCTAACTAGGTTTGAAACAGATCGGACGTCTCTGATACGTCGAATTGATTTACATACTTGAAAACGTAGTTCAGTGATAGCAAGCAATTTAATGTCAATCAGATTTGATTTGAGATTTAAGGCTTAAAATAATAACACTTTTGCGCTATTTCGCCTTTTAGATAGATATAAACTGCTTTTATTTATAATAGCTGAATAGATTACCTGATAGAAACGCCGACATGTAACCGGATCAGCATAGTTGCCGTTGGCTATATTTGAAGGACATTGGAATTCTTCTTTTTGTGCTGTAAGAGAGATATGAAAATGTGAAAAATAAAATAATTTGTTGAAATCGTTTACAACGTAAATGCCTATGTTAAAAATGTATTATTTTTTTAATAGGTATATACGTACGCATTTATTCACTGATTTTGCCTAATTAATTAAAATTTATTACTGTAACATTAAATTCGCCAAAAAAGTTGTAAAACCAAAAATTAAACAACGACAACGTAGCAACAACAGACGCTAACACTACCACATTCAGTTATTGCCAACAAGCAATTGTACGAACATGCTTGTCCATTACAATATGTCTACGTTCGAATACGTTATTGAGAAATAATCGAGAGAAAAAAAGAGAGAAAAACAATTACAAAATAATTTTAATAATAACGAAAACAATGTTTATATCCCATAAAACATGCTTTTGGGAAATAGTTACATACAGCATACATTTGCATATGCATATATGGATACATACATATATGTATATATATGTTTACATATACGCAATCATACACGCGTGCATGTATAGAGAGAAGTGCATTTTTTCCTAACGAAATTTCTCGAGTTAGTTCTGTCGTTTCAATCGACACGCGGATGATATATGCGAACTGTGCGAAAGCATGAACCGCAACAGGCAACATGCTGTCTTCGTCTGTCCGGCTTGGGCATATTTGAAGAATATGCTTTCCAGATCTCTGGAACTAGAAATCATGCTATTTAATCTGCTAATATTTATGTTGATGGGCGAAGAGAGGATGAAGGGAATGCGCCAGTTTTTTGCACGACATGCGTCGACATAAACCTACACAAAGGCGGTATCCGAACCTTCAATCTCATTGAAGAATAGTGGAGGTAGGATGATATAGGGCGGATCAACAATCGATTAGGCTCCATTTCCGGGATGAGTTTTTACTCCACCGTAGGGCCAGCAGTTGACAATGCGTTGCCAATGCGTCGAAAAATAAACCTACAATACATTCGCACCTATATATATATATATATATATATGTATATAACTTTTACAATATATGCAAACATGCTTATATATGCGTATACTTATCTATATATAGATCTTTTCATCTAGGCAGGAGATATATATGTATTTTAAGGGAGGAAGACTATTGGTTAATGCGAAAGTGTCTTGCAAGTTTACGGCAGTGCTTTCCAAAAGAAAAAGTTTACCTTTCAAACAAAGTTTTTTGGAATTAAGATGATTTTAAATTGTTTTGAACTTTGCTGTTAAATAATTACATATTGCGAAGAAAGAGAAATTGAAAGGGATTTCTGCCTGTCATGTAACAATAAGATAACGGTCCGAAATCCAAGCAACGAGTATATAGCGATTTTTTCTTACTATATCCATTATAAAACGATGTGCTTATTAAAAAGAATTTTTGAAAATTTTTCATTCACTCTCACTTAGAAGAGTATCGAAAATATGCCATGAAATAAACATACTTTCGACCAGATTGAATCGAGTCCTTTCATTCATTTTTGGATCATCATTGTCGGCAATTAAAACTTTTATAACCGCAAAGATTGAGATATAAATTTAAAGTTGAAAACAATTTTGTCTACAAATATATTCACAATGAACTAATATAATAACTGAAAGAAAATTGAAGTACATAAGGCAATGAATTTGTTAAAATTTCCTATTAATACCATAATTACATAAGGGATATAAATAAATTGTTTGTATTCTACCTGCTGCTGTACAATTTGATAACTGGTTTACGTATTAATACTGTTTGTGGTCGTTTCCCTCTTATCGGATAATTTGCGAATATTCCCACGGTAGTCGAGACAATCATCGGCCCATTTACGAACAAAGTCAACTTTTCAGAGCTGCCGATCTGCTAAATACCATTGCATCGATTTGAAGCGATGTTAGTTAGAAAAATACTCGTTCTGGCGAATAGTGCTGCAAACAAGAAAAGTTCCCAGCCCAAGTTGAAGATCACTTCCTGCGTTACTATTGCTAGAGACAGATTTTTCATTTTTTGCATGAAACCTAGTAAACAACTTGCAAACTGTTTCATAGCTTACTACGTTTTCACTTTAAGCTAACTTACGTATTCGTCCTGCAGTTTCACTTGTATTTCTTTTTCTTTTTGCGTATTAAAACAGAATAAAAAACATATATCGTATATGATATTTAGTCCTTCATGCTTTGGTAAGCATTAAATGATAGCCTGTTAAGAAGAAAAACTTGTACCGTACAAACATTAATTTCAAAGTCGTCTACATTTGAAATTTCGACAGAAATGAATACAACAAGTAGATTTTGTAAGACAACCAATTCCAGGGAACCGGAAAATTTATCAATAGGATAGTTTCGAGCTTTTATGATCTTACTGCTCTATCCTAATTGATATTTAAACTTAATCCTAAAGCAAATAACTCCTTAGTCTTATTTAGCTTTGGTAGGAATAAAAATTTAGTATTTCGTGAAAAATGCTTAACCGTGATCTTGGTCAAGACTTAATAAAAACGGATTACGATATTAATTTTTCAAAATAATAAAAGGCATGCCATCAAGCGATCAAATATCTTTAGTTGATCGAATGACTGTCCAACATGTGATGTAATAGGGTGCGAGAAGTAAAAGAGATGCAGTGAAGAACTTAATGTAGTTACGGTGGATGGATCCATAGAAAGCTGAAGCTCAAAACTGTTTTGGGCTTTTCTGTTTTTCACATAGGTGTGCGTTGCGGTTTTTGTAACTTTTAATACCAATATCTGACACTTAGTCACTTATGCGTGATCCTATGGGTATGATTAAAACGTTGTTATTGCATTTAGTTATTCAAAGAAAAACCACACAACTACAAATAACTATTTAGAAGAAAAAGAAAAATCTTAAAATAATAAGAAACTGTTTTTTTTTTGTTGCTGCAAGTTCTGCTTAAACTTTGATTCAATTCACAGCTCGGAGAGAAATTATCAAATCTAGTACTGAGTTAATTGCTCCGAAATTGTACGCACAGATCCTCAACACATCTCTGCCCCATATTTTGGATGATTTCGGTCCTTTCTGTCCAAGATATCGATTTCCTATCTGACTGTGAAGCTATGAAGCCACATTACACACATTAGTAAGATGCGTAAATAAAAACGTAGTCGGTTAAATTTTACGTCATAACTAATTTGAAACTTGCATATATATATATGTGTTTAGTGTTAATTGATAAAATGGGAAAGTTTTAGTGCAAAGTTCAAGTGAGCCTCAAAGACTTGTACCGGTTAACCGTACACATTCGGACAGTTTGTTATCGAGCATTTTTTTTAGCATAATAAATGGAACGATAAACTTATTACGTACACATATGCTGAGCATAAAAATGCTGTTTTTACTATCAGACTGTGTTATGCTATCGTTTTATAATTTATTTATCATTATTATTATTATTTTTTGTTTGATTTGAGAAAGGGAGTTAGGACAGCAAATATGCTACTGAATGGCTAGCTTACTGTATAAATGAAATTCATTAAGTTGATAACTTATTCAATATTTCATAATTTTCAATATTTTTGTAACCTTGTATATAATATAAATGTTGCATAATAAAACAAACAAATTGCATAAACTATTTTCAAATCTCATGCTTTAAATTAAATTTCCTTTCAAATTTCGAAACAATCATCAGAAAACAATAACGTTATGATATACGTTATGTAAAGTGAATATGTGAAAATCGCTTAACCCATTGATGCTCATTTCATCTATCGATGCTAGACGATAAAAACGGTCGACATATCGATGACTATTCGTAGTATTCGCAACACGTTATGGGCACTGACTGCCCATGTCGTTTGCACTTACATTCAGAGCCACTGTATGGTTACATATATATGCATACCGGGCTATTAAGTTTAGTTAAAGTTCGAATTATTTCCGTTAGATTCTTGACGTAAGTGCGCCGCATAAGTTTTCGAATAGAAATTACTTTGGAATTTTGAATTTGTTTACAAATCAACTTAGTTTAAATAGGCCCGATTTCAAAGTTCAAACGTGTGTAGGCAAGTCAAATCAGTATTAGTATATTTTTAATCCTTTGCGTTTGATATCACTACATACAGTCGTCGTAGCATTCGATGCTATGTCATTAATGATCATGAAACAACTTTTTGTAATTTATATATAGAAAGTAAAAAAAAACTGTTGATGCGTTGTTCATATGTGTTTCAATATTACTTCAAGTAATACAGTTACCTTTTGTTTTTCAATATCTTTATATAATTTTTGTTACAATCAATCATTCACGTGATGTCCTTTAACACCCGTGTAACACAATAACGGTTTAACCGAAAGAAATGGGGAAAGAGAGATAGAAATAAATATAGATATAAAGATAGAGAATGACTGCAGCCTAGTGGCTCGGCCGAGAAATTTCACACCTTTTCATCGATTAAGCACTCACTGTAGCTACGATCAAGTATTTGTTGAAAGCACTAATCAAGGAATGAATCAAGGAAATTTACTGATTGCCATGGGTTAAACTGATCAAGTATGTATGTAGAGACTTAAAGACAATTCTGATAATCGCTTAGGGATAAATCATACGGAATGATAGAATTAGTAGACTCCTCTTTCTTTAATGGCGATGTGCATAAAAATGTTTTCACTATAGAATGGAATTTTTTATTTTATTTTACTTTTCATATTATTTTACTTTTGTGTGTCTAATTTAATTAACTTTTCTCCAATGTGTGTAAAAAGTACTAAATTGGCTTTGGGTTATTGGATAAAAACGTTTCTTTTTTTTTTTTTTTTTTTTTTTATTTTAAATATGTTTTTGTGTTAGAAAAGTAAAAAAATCGAAAACTCTGTACCAATTTACAAAAAGTGCCTATTTGTTCTGACTAAAAATGAAAAACAAAAAAAAAGGTGGCGATAACAACAATAACTATGAAAGTTCTATGTACCATAACTAAAACTTTTTCGTAATTTTTTTTTTTTTTTGTTTGCTTTTTCCCCTTTTATATATATATATATATATATATATATATCCTAATATATATATACCTAAACCAACATAAAAATCTATTTCCGGTTTTTATTGACAACAGAAATAATTAGAAAAAAGGAAATCTAAAAATTACTTTAAAATTGTTTTCATCTCACAA